TTAGTAACTTTTAAAGATGTGGAGGCAGATTTCTAGAAGAGAATCATGTATAGCTAGTAGAGTGTATAGTAGAGTGTTTTCATCTCTGCCTGCCTCCAAACCCCTTTCCTTTCCATGCAGCATGGAGACCTGTGCTGCTGTCTTGCCAGCTCTTCAAATGTGCAAGTCTCTCTTGCTCAGAGTTCTGTGTTTTATGAGTGTCTAATGTAACAACTGAAAGAATTCCACACTACTCAAATTCATGTAAAACTCTCTAAGTAAATGTAAATGTAATGTAAATGTGAAAAATGAAGCCTCATTAAAAACTAAAAAGAATTGCCACACATCCATCAGAGGCATCTTTCCCTGAAAAGGTAGAGTCTTTTGATTCATGTTGTCATTTTTAAAGTCAAAAATACATGATTTTTCCAGTTTCTGGTCATTACAAATAGTCACCCTCAGTAATTAGCTTTGTATCACTGAATAACTTTTGGCTGGGTAATGAAGTGCTGTCTGTACTCTCACTGGGGTAGCCAAGAGTCTCTGCTGGGACAAGCTTCCTGCAGTAAGTTCATGTGGCATCATCCTCCAAACCCTGTCCAGTGGCTGTTCATCAGTGTTGAGCCCCAGCAGGCATTGAAGCACTATGGTAGACTTTGTATTTTTGAATGTTATGGGTTACTTCTGCTTTAGTCCTCATAAAATAACAGCATGATTTCTGTTGGCACCTGTGGGGTTTCTGCACTGCTGCCTTTTGCATTTTGGGGTATTCTTCTACACATAAAGGGATAAGGTTTTTCTGCTGTAAGCATGCTAGAAATTGATCAAACATTAAAGAAATGTATTTTTCATAGAAAGGCTGCAAATGGAATACATTCTGGAGTTTTGGGGGTTGCTCTTTGAGAAGGTTTCAAATCAGATAGAAAACATCCAGAGCAGACCAGTAAGAATTATTAGGAATCAGGAAAACATGGGTTTCACAGCATAAATTAATTTATTGGGAAGAGAAGATTGAGGAAAGGGGACATGATAACAGTGCTCAGTTGTTGGAAAGAGTCTCATAAAGAGGGAAAAGGATGCTCTCTTCTCCCAAAACCACACCTTTCCTCCATTGCAATCCATGGTGAATACATGAAAAAGAAATAGGTTTAGTACATTTATGAAAGTCATAGGTCTTAAAAATGTTTGAATAGTTCTGAAGACGGTGAAACTCTGGTGCAGGTTGTCTGGGGGATGCATGGCATCTGTGTCACTGGAAGTCTTAAGATAAAAACTAGGAAAACAGTGGTCAGGATTGGCCATCTGACCTTGTTCTGGGGCAGCAAGATGAAGTAGATGATACTGTGATGTTCTCCCAGGTTTTCTGTTGTATGATATGACTTCAGGTGAATGTTGTTGCTGACTTGTAATGTTTTAAAAAGATGTTGCTATTTCATGTCACGATCTCTTAAAAACAGGATGTTAGGCATGAACCTTTACTTTCATTTTGAAGAAGCAGTACTGCCTAGTTCTTATGATTGCAAGGAAGAGATTAAAATAATGAACTCAAAACCTTCAGGAAAGGGCAAGGATGAAGTGGTCAAAATATAAATATCAGCATTTCAGTATTTTTAAGACAGCTCGATAATCAAACATTTGTTTGGAAATGGAAATAATCTTGTCCTTAGCCTTGGCCTCATTTACTCTCACTGAATAATTTCTCATTGCCATCACTTTTTTCTCCCACCTGAGTTTTTAAGCAAAAAATATTCACCTGTGAAACATCTTACATCTACTAATGCTTCTGCTCCACCAAGATTTAATCTTTCATTGCTATCAACAGAGATGTGTCTGCTCCCTTCCATGCTCATACTTTCCTGTCATCACAAAGGTTTTTGCTTTCAGGTGGTGAACTGGAGCCAAGAACTGATTCTTGTCTTAAGCAGACTAGCAAATATTAGAAAAAACCAAATCCACAAATAAACAAGCAAATCCAAAACATTTTAACCAGGTTCACTTCTTCAGTCTAGTTTACTGCAGGATGATAAAATCCATGTGTCAAGGTCTGTTCGGGAATCTGAATGAGGATGTTCCTGTCTGTCGAAGGTGGAAGCAGCCTTTTGAAAGGACCGTGCATGACCTAAAATTTGGTATCATGTACAAAGTATGAGTTGTCCTCTGCTCTCCAACCCCTTGTTTAGCACTTCAGCTGCTTAATTGAGTAGCAAAAGGAAATCCTTATTGTTTTTTGTACAACTGCAGAGTCAACACAAATGAGGGACGTCTCTTCCTTCTCTGAATCAATATTCATCTGTGTAGAAATACTGAAAGGTAAAAATTTTGCTCTTAACTGAACTTTTGAAAACTCAAAGTTAGTTTTATTTCTTCCTTGGTTTGCTAATGAAACAACTAGGAGAAAAGCATCTTTTTCCTGGTACTGTAAACAGCCTTCCAATTCACAGTGAATAAATATGGATTCCTGACATGCAACTTTCTCAGACTGTTATTCTCCACAGTTTATTTAAGATGCTAAAGTTCTTGTTTAAATAAAAACTTCAGATGTTGGACAAGGCTCTCTATGCAATGCTTACTTTAAAAAACAAACAAAACAAAACAGAACTAAAAACAAAAAAAAAAACCCACCCTGACTGTTGCATTTTTGAGAGACACACTTAAGCCATTTTGGCCTGAATTTGTTTCCTTCACAAAAAGAAATCTCAACCCTGGTGCATAATTTATGATCCTGGCATCCAGCCGGAACATATGTACATACTGAAATCAGTTTTGCATCTGTTTAACTTTGTGCACATGAGGAGTCTAATTGGATTTAGTCTGATGAAATGACACATGCGAGATCAAGTGTCTGCACAACAAGGATTTCAGTCAGTAGGTTTCTTTAGGGCACCAGCTCCTATGCTTTATGTGGTGCCTAGTGCATGAAATGGCTCTTTGATTATCTCAAAGCCTTCTGCATGCTATATAGCTGTAGTGATGGGTGAAACAAAGAAATACAGAAGAACAAGTCTTGCAGCATAGGTCAGACCTTCTACTGCATAGCGCTGTACAAAAGTAGCAATTGATTCATTGTAACTTTCTTTTTAAAAAATGTCTTCTCTTCAGGTTTAAGGAAAATCACTCCTTCCTTTGTAGCAGGCTACGAGGCTGCAGCTGTTGGTCCTCTGGTGACAAACTCTTTTGCTTACATATGCTAAACACTCTGGTAGGATACATCCATCACCTCCTCTAGGATGGAACCTGTACTGATCTGACTGGCCAGCAATGTAGGTACTCACCATCTTCACAAGATAAGCTATCAGTGTATCAAGAACTGGAGCTTTGTTTTTGCTGCTCTTGCAAGCCTTATCTTCCCATGCCATCTTGCATCTGCCATCTTGAGCCCTGGCTAATTTCTTGCCCCAGAAGAGGTGGTGCTGAGTTTATTTATCTAGAGGCTGGCTCTTCTGTTTTGTTCTGATGTTTTCTCACTCTTCCTACATCTGCTGTAAGGGTCTAGGGAAGGAAGAGTGGTCTAGAGAGTGAAGAGAATCAGGGAAGGGGATGAGAGTGTCTGCAAGTTCTGATATTAGGAGCATTAGGGATTAAAAACTGGAACTCCAGGGGATTAGTACTGTGAGAGTATAGTCTGGGGAGGATAGGCTTGCAATATGAGTGCTGTTAAGGCAAGGCAAGTGACTCTAAAACTGATGGTGTACCGAGGACCAAAGTAAGATTGAACTGAGAAGAGGAAAAGAGGAAAAAAGAAGCTGAAGTAAGAATATAAAGCAAAAACTATACCTTACAGATGAAAGGTTTTGTTTGTCTTTCCCTTCTACCTCACTGTCCAGATTCATTCTGTGTCTGGCTAAATATCCTGAAATAAAGACAATTTTAGGAAGCTCAGAAAGTGGTTCAAGGCATGCCATTTGAAATGTATTTTTGTTTGAGGAATTATGCTCCTGACTTTTGGTGACATTAAGGGAGGAGGCATCTAAAAAAAGTGTGTGTGTGAAATTTGTCATGTAGCACCTGATTCAGACTACAGAATGCTTTGAAGCAAGAGAGGAAAATAGTGAAATATTACAGCATTAAGATTTAGAAGTAAAATTTTGCTCTGTTTGACCTAAATTTGAATCTGATGGCACTGGTGTAGATACTCTGATATGTTTTGTGGCTGGGGAAAAGCTTTGATCTTTAATTTTTGTGTTGTAGAATGTTAAGTTGTGGAAGGCTTTCTGTTACTGATGCCTTTTTACGGTCTGCAGTTTGAAGTGTGTGCAGTGGGAACAGTTAACTGAGGGCTTGATATTGCAAGGGAAAATGCACTGTATTAATTTTTGGTAATTGGAAACTTTTTGGTCCTACAAGTGGATACACTTAATTGAGATGGTCATCTTTTTTTTCCAACGAAATTAATTTCTGTCCAGGGGAAAGTTCTAAATGCCGATTTTCAAAGAGAAAATAATTTTACAACATGATTCTTAGAGAGCATTCAAAATGTAAACCTACACATCTCTAATTCATTCTGTGATTTTGCAAATGAAACTAGAACATAATCACTTCCTTATTTTGAATAAATTTTGCATCTCTTGGTAATATTTAATATTCATTGGATGAATACCAGTGTTTCCTATTTGAATCCTCTTTGCCTTGAAATATTTAAATTTTAATTCTTTAGAGTTTGGTTCAAATCAGCTATCCCTTATTTCCATCTTGATTAATACAGAGAAGTTAGTATTTATAAGAAACTTCTTTAGGTAGTACTTACACAAGGCTGTATGGTAAAGATTTCATGTTAACTGTAGACATCATAGGTAACTAATTTGTTAATAGATTTACTGAAATTTGCAGCTGGTCACATTTTTTAAAACACTCAATATAATTGTGCATTGTTTGCTCCTGGAAAGATTAGGAGCACTTTATGTTGAACAAAGTATAAAAAGAATTCATGGAATTCTTGAAATATTTAGCAAGCATTTTTGATAAGTAAGACCTTATTTTTGCTGAGAATGTTTACAAGCATTTTTTTTTTTCTCTATTTTCAGTCCCCTGCACATAGCTATTCAAGCTATGACTCTGGCAAGAATGAGAGTGTAGGCAGAGGTGCTGAAGATCTGTCTCTGAATCGAGGAGATGAGGATGAGGATGACCATGACGAGCAAGAAGATCCTGAGAAGGTTAATGAATCAGATGGGGTAGAAGCTGAGCGACTGAAAGCTTTTAACGTAAGCCCTCTTGCACTCACCTTGTTTACTTCTTCTGTTCCTTTTGCGTTGTTGTTCTTGGGTAAGTCTGACAATATTAAAGGCACATTAATTTGCAGGATTTTATTTCAATTACTATTTTAATGCACATTAAACTCTTGCCAACAGATGACAGATTTACTGCGTTTCATTTAGAATTTTGAGGCAGAGTGCCATCCTTACCAGTGAGGAAAACAAAGCTTTGTTCTGTATGTGTGCATGTGTGACCGTCTGTGTGGCTGTGTGGATGTGCATGTTCACCCACTGAATGGAAAGAGGCTGTAGCTAGTTTTGTCAGGAGACCATTCTGGTGGTCAGCTGTTCTCTATTGCTTTCCCAATGTATATAATTATGCATGAAAACACAAGCAATTGTTCAAACAAAGAAAAAATGTGAGTCAGTTCAATAAAATGATTAGCAATCACAGCCTATTGTTAATAATGAAACTTAAGTAGTGCCTATTTTCACAATCTGTTCTGGTTTATCTCACAAGTTCTGTATCCTATAGACTATTCTTTTCTTGTCTATTTTTTTAAACCCAACCCACCCCCACCCCAAATAACCCTTTAAAGAACTGTTTGCTTTATATTTCTGGCTTCCCGTTACAAAGCTCTTCAGTGGATAGAAAAAAAAAGTCTTCCTATCAGTAATCAAGCCAGGAAGCTAGGAAGAGAAGAGAGCTGCCCTCCAAACCCATCTCCTCTGTCTCCCTCTTGCCAACAGATGTTTGTCAGGCTGTTTGTAGATGAAAACTTGGACCGAATGGTCCCAATCTCTAAGCAGCCCAAAGAAAAGATCCAGGCTATCATTGACTCATGCAGGCGACAATTCCCTGAGTATCAAGAGCGTGCCAGAAAACGCATACGTACTTACCTCAAGTCCTGCAGGCGGATGAAAAGAAGTGGTTTTGAGATGGTGAGTTTTGACTTAAAACCCAGCACTAGTTTCCATCAAAACCCCATATGTAAATCCATGGCACTATTTTGTTTTCATCTTAGCGTCTTTATTTTTTGTTTGTTTATTTTTTTTGGTAATACCAGGTCAGAGATTTCTTTTTCGCTCCTTCATTCTTCCTGAATTTATTCCTCTTGATTTAAAAGTGCTATAAGACACTAGAGTTCACAAAATGAACTAATATGGATCTATAGGAAAAGAAGAACAAAGCAAGGCATAAGGAAGGAAACTGAACTATGGACTACATAGTGACTTATTTTTTACTTTAAGTAACAGTTACAGATTTTTGCCTGGAAAAGTCTTGGTGTGAGATGTATTTTTCTCTAAAATGCCTCTGCTAGCTGGATTCCAGTGAACTCTGTGAAATTGATCCTGCTAGAGAAAGGCTATGCTAAAGAAAACACCCAGTGTAGCAACATCATAGTGGCAATGGCTTTGGCTTTGGGTGCTTTCTTGTATGCCTTAGCCAATTCTTTATCAGTGAAAGTTACTCCTTCAAAATCTTTCAGTTGATGTAAAGGTGTGCAAAGCATGTTTAATGGTTGTAAAACACAGATATCAAATCTACCATTTGAGCATCCCAATGGTTTAGTAGTTGTAACGGAACCAAAACTCATGGAGATTATCATGGTATACAACTGACAGTGTTTTCAGACATTGTTATTTTAATATTATTCAGTAGCACAAAAATGGGTAAATAAAGTCTTCTCAGTAACTGGGAGCTTCATTATCTCTAGAAAACATTTGTATTTCCAAAATGGAGGAAAGTCAGAAGAAACTAGGTAGCTACACACCTTGTGTTTAATGTCTTAGGTATCTCTCTGGCCTTTAGATGACAACAAAAACACCTCATTGTTACAAATAGATATCATTTAGTGATTAAACATGCCATTTTTTTTTTAATGAATCATCTGCAAACCCATTGATTACATTAAAAATTATTTGAGATGATTGCATTTTGCTGTTTTTCTCTTTCTCTCTGTCTTTCTTTCCTGCAGATTTTGCAGTGTATTTATGAGTACCATATGTTGTTTAAGATGGTAGCTGACAGTTTTAAGAAAAAAAAATACCAGGCTTATTTGTAGGATAAGACCACTATTTGATTACACAAAAAGCAAAGACAGAAACTAAATTTTTCTGTGTGTTTGGGATTCCAATCAACTGCATGGTTTTATTATTTGAAACATTGGGATAACACTGTTTCTGAACAGTGGAACGTCAGATGGAGAAAACCAGGTAGAATAAAGGACATCTGTACAGACAGAAGTGCCAAAGATTGACTGGTGTTGTACATGGCAGATTGTTTAGCCCTCCAAAACAACAAAAAAAAGGGAAAACAGAAAATAAATACTTCCTACAATATACAATATATAAGTAGCATTAAATTTCATCTACTCACTCATTTTTGTCATCTGAAAGACTTGGGCAACAACTGTTTTGCAATATAAACAAGGGGCTACAGCCTGACCCATAAGAGCTGGGTTGACTTGACTTCAGTGCACATTTGCAAATGTTCCTTTCATATGAATAAAGGTTGCAGGATCAAATTTATTCCTGGGAGGGGAAAAAGAGAAGAGATTACCAGGAACATGATCCAAATAGGCAATCTTTATAGTTCAGAAAGATTTCCTGGTTTTATAATGTTTTATGACAGTTTATGATGGGCTTTATTTTTTTTTTTAAACAAACAAATCACCCTCTAAAACATTCACTTTTTGCCCACGAATGGAAGTGACAAGGCACTGGAACTCATGCCAAAGAGTGCAGCCCTCTTGGGCCTGGAGGGATATCTGTCCTGTGTCCCTGTTTGAAGGTAGGAATACAAGCCAAAGATTATCCAGAGTCTCTGGAGGAACTCCCATCAACTTCTTAAGAAAATAAGTAGCATTTTATGCATATGCCTTGAATAATTCTGAAATTTAATGTGTATCCCTTTGGGTTTTTAAATTATTTTTTGATTTCTAAGTTACTGTATCACCATCTCTTGATTATAGGCATTTTTTTAAATGCTACCATGGACAGAGACATTCGACTACTTGATTATTTTAAATGTACTTACCATTTTGGTAATGGAGAAGAATCACCTTTCCTGGTTAATATCATTTGTTCAAAACAATTGTGAATGGATACTATGGTGTGGTTTTGAATAAGGGGCTACCCTCAAATACAGCAACCCAGAGTAATGATCTGCTCAGCAGCAATACCAGTACCATTGTTATATTAAATAGGATATCAGATAATAACCTCCACAGGAGATGTCTTTTGCTATACACATGAAAAATACAAGTTTTTTTCACTTGTTCAGGTTCAAAATGCTACATTTTGAGCATCTAGTTGCATGAGGAAAAGAGAAAATTCTCTTTTATGGCATATGACAGTTCAGACTGTGTGTGGAACTGTACAGCCATCTACAGCGTCATACTGTAAGGTGAAAAGAAAATGTAAACACTGTGTTAAATTAGTGTAAAACTGCATGGTAAAGATGAAAAAGCATGCCTGGAGCCTGATTCTGTCAGTCATTTGCCATCTGTAATTCCAGCGACAGTTCTTACTGCATAACAGGCCAGTTCTAGTTCTGAGGCAATAAAAAAGGCTCAGTCTCATGAGTGTTCATATTTTTAATTAACATGATTCTTAGTATTATTATGTTTAAGAGATTACTTATAGTTATTCTGCTTCTACTTGTGACAGATAGTTGTCTCTGGACTCCAAGGCAACTGGCATAGCTTCTTGTTACAAATATGCCTTTGAGAAACTCCCTTTCTACACTGGAAATACTCTGCCCATTTGAATGTGCAGCGCTTGTTGTTGTGCAGTTTTCATTCTGACACAAGTGTACACCACAATAAGGCTCACTCAGTTTATCTCAGGAATTGTAAGATTGTTTTTTCTCCTCTCATTGTCTCTTGCTAATGGACTGTTGAGAATGTTCTCAAACTGAATTCTATGATCTCGCTCAGGATCTTTCACTGAGAGGGAATTCGGTCAAATACCAAAATCACTGGCTTTTGGATAGGATTTCTAGGTTGTGCTTCTGCCTGCATTGTGCTATACTGCTTGGAGAACTTAAAAGTTTCTGATAGTCTTAAAGAAATTATTTATTTTTCTCTTCATTGACCCAAAAACTAACTAAAAAAAATTATTATCCTTATTCTCAAGGACTGACATCAGTGAGAATTCCTGTATATACATTAGGTGTTTTGTGACCTCTATAGGCTATGCAAGAGGAATTTTCTCCCTGAAATAGTCAGATGGCCTGTTTCACTAATGGTTTTCAAATCCTTTGTTTAGACTCCTCCCAGCCTCTGTGATAGATAACTGCCAATTAAAAAGAGTTAGTATACAGATGATGGAGATATGTGGTATGCATTTTTTTAGTTTCAGTCCAGAAAAGCTTTAGATGCTAGAAAGAATCAAATGATGTTGAATTGTCTTAATAGTTACGTTTTCTTACTACTCTCTGCTTCCTCCCATCTTCAGGATCTCCTGTGATCAGTCTCACTGCATTCAATTTGAAATTGCACCTTCCAGTATTTTTTTCACAGATGTGCCATTTTCTCTGTGAGCATCCCAATGCAAGAGCAGGATTTTAAACATTAGTTCACTAAGAGATTCTTCCTTTTTTTTTTTAAGAAAAAGGAAACCCTCCTTCTAAATACTACTGTAATACAAAACAAAAGTATCAAAGACCAAAGTATTTCTGTATTGGAGAGAAAAGGCTAGTCATAAATGCTTTTCATTGTCCAAAGACAAGTCTTCTTCAGAGAAGAGTCACACTGTGCCTAAAGACAGTTCCTGGTTTAGGTGCTGTTGTTGTTCATCCCAGTTCCTGTCCTATCATCAGCCTCAAGAACAAACAACTGAGCTCTGTATCTTTCACTGCTGCTGTCACTTGGTTGTGCCAGTTGGCTGAGGGAGGTTTTTTAACAATTTGCAACTGTGCTCATGTTGATCAAGGTGTTTTGAATGTGTCTAGTGGCTTCTCAGGCATCTGTATTGAGACTGAGCAACTTTGGTGGGGACTGGTTTCCAGAAGGGGGATGTTTTCTGAAATATGCCCCATTGAGATTGCTTGAAATAGGTCTCTAGGTTCTGCTTTTAAGTTTCAGAAAGAAGAATCTTTCACTATTTACTGAATTTAGTGTTGAAAAGTCCAGCTGCTGTTGCAGTCACATGGCTTTTCAGTCCTCCAGGCTTTTATGTCTGGAACGGTCATAAGCATTTTCAGGAAAACGAGGATCTGTGGATTCAGGGATGCATATCTAATTGATTAACAAGCTGAGAAGCATTAAGAAAATTATCACAAGAACATTTACATGAAGTTGTACAGATACTAATAGAGTTGTTACTTTGCATTATATTCCAAATTTGGTCAGTTGGACACTTCCTTTGTAAGCATCTCACCCTTGTTTGATAGTGGTTAACTTATTTAAGTCTGATGGGCAACTTGGTTGAAAAAGGCCTAATCTGCTCTCTGATAAACTTGGACTTTCACTATTAGATCTCATATAGTCTTGAGAAACTATTCTAGAAACAGTTTTTCTAAGGCTCTTAGATGTGTTGTTCTTTTTTTTTTGTTTTTTTTTTTTTTCACCACAGAACAGTTAAGTGAGTACTCATGTGATTTTGTGATTTTTAATAACTTCCTCCTAAATCTTCCTCAGATAGCTTCTTTTGCTTTTAATGACTTTTAAAAGTATAGGCAATTTTGGAAAAGTGAGCAGTGGAAGAAGTAACATTTCTTCCATTAACCTTGCAAAATGTGAACAAGCTAGCTTTAAAAAAGGTATGGTGTTTGGAAAAAGAATTAAAACTAAAAAGTTAAAAATACCTACTAACCTGATAGGGCTTAGTCTTCTGCATTCTGTAAGAGAGAAAAATATAGGAATAGTATTTTGGCATTTGTTTCAATTTTTTTTGAATTTAGAATAAAAGTAATCCCCTCTGAAATGGCAGTAAGT